ATAGGGTAAACACAGGTTTTTACCAATTATACTTATTAAGGTTGTGTTGCATTCAGGTCAAACAGACTCTGATCTTGTCCATGTTGGTTCATTGGAAGGCTCTGCTACACGCTAAATGGATAATGAGCATCAGTGTAACACTTGTGTTTACCCTACAATTTCCTGTCAAAATGACTGCTGCAAAAAAAGGTCTATTCAAAGAGGCTTTATTAGCATGGGAAACATTCATATTTATTTAATGCTATAATGGAAAAGAGAAGATTTGTGCTTAAGTTTGAAGTTAAAGTTGTAACAATGTTAATGTTTTTTGCCCACTTGGGGTCCGTGGAAGGCCATTTTATCATCTTATATAGTTGATATGGTGAACTTCCATTTTGTCCACCAAGTCCTTCCAAGAATATCTGTCTAACTGTGTCTCTCTGCTGTTAGGTGTTGGGCGGTAAGTGTACAGTGGACGCGATAAGAGCAGTGAGAGTTGTGGGACAGAAAACCAAAACAGTGAGCTAAAAGACAGTAGTACAGCTTTGAATACCCAAAAATCTTGTGAGGGGATGTCATTATAAACTCTATACAGCATTCTCATTTTTAGCAACCTGGCTGTTTTTTTAAAAGAAACAAGAGAGGCAAAAGTTCCAGTATGATGAGCTGGGCAGAATGTTTGCTAGCTGCTGTCTGGAGGACAGTTTGGATTCCTCTCTGAACATATTATTTGTCACTTCCCATAATTGAAGAAGTGACAGGTGTGTCTGTTGTGTTGTATGATTTAGTTGAGTATTTTGACAAAAATCGTCTCCTAGAGTAACTTCATTGAACTTTGGAAAACTTGTCATTGGCATCCAACAGCGTAGAGTGCAGGGATGTAAGAGTGTGGGGTCCTGCTGTGGCTGCAGGCAAGTGACACTGATGTGAGGTGATAGTTCAGTAAAGTAGAGCCTCTCTCTGAAGCCACAGAGCTCTAATTCAATCAGCAATTTACATGTGATTGGGCCAGGACAGCACATCCCTGCAGAAAAGTTCCAACACAACCGGACCATTGATGCTGCAGAGGTCACTTGCCCTCACAGTCGTAGGAAGCTGTGTGTGTGTTTCAAGTGTGTGTATATGTAAACTGTGATATATCTTTGCACTATCTGTTCATCCACCACTTGTACACACACTCTTCCTTCCATGTTTACTTTAATTCATCCTTCTTTGTGAGGAAAAAACAAGTCCTTCCCTTTCATCAGCAGCAAACAGTTAGCTCACCCTCTAGTGGTCAGTTGGTGCCACTACATGTTCTATCCATAGCTTCAGTGGTGAGGATTAGATGGATTAGATATTTAGCGAAATCTCCCCATGCTGCTGTAAATAGACAGATGGGTGTGTCCCCCACCCTCCCCCAACATGCAAACACACACACACACACACACACACACACACTTACACTCACCAGTCTCTCTGTTGCCATGCCAGGCTGCAACATAGCAGAAAACTACATAATAGAGACAGATGTTTGTCTATTAAAAAAAAAAACAATATCCACAGATTTATATCCTATTTTTTTCTGTTACTTATAGTGTTTTTATTTCAGTCATAGAATTTCATTTGTTGATATAATGTTGAATGGTTTTACAGCTTGGATCTTCCGTACCATACCCATTAATGGGTTACTATATTTAGTATGTTAAGGAAAAGCCACACAGATTTTTTTCTGTTAGAGGTGGAAACAAATAAAATGCTGTCAAGACTCTCGAGACATGTGGCTATACATGACAAAATCAAAAGGTTTGATTTGATTCATTTTAATAATGCCTTAATTGTTTTTCTTTTAAAAATGCAAAACAATCACAAAAATAAGTTAATTTGAAACACTTGATACACTGGATCAAAGCACATATTAAAGCTGCAGTAAGTTTTTTTAATTTTTATAAAAAAATTAAGTTTGATCATATTTGTTAAAACTTTCACTATATCCTGACAGTAATACATGAGACAGATAATCATGACAGATAATCATAATGTGAAAAAATCAGGTTCTTCTGACTCGTCCTAGTGCTCCACACCGCAATAATGATCATTAAGAATTCTTTGGATGCATAATTGGGCTTATGATGATTACAAAACTGAAAAACAAAATTTGCATAATTGGTAGAAAGTCAACTTCAAGAAAATTAGTCAGTGGAACAAAATACGGCACACATTTAAGTGCATTCAAAATAGCTGAGTTGCTTCAACAATTCATTTTTGAGTTGAGTTTAATTCATATGAATGAACTTTTTTAGATGATTAATTTATGTTAACTCACTTCTTTTAT